TTTCTCATGGTCTGAGAGTCCTTCAGCTGCCATTTGGCAAACCCCAGGTGTGCTCTTTCATCTCACTAGTTTACCATACAGGCCTGATTGGTGGAGTGCTTCAGAACTGGTTGTACTTCTGGAAGGTCCTCCTGTCTTCACAGAGCAACACTGGAGCTCTGTTGTTGATCACCTCCCTGATCCCTTCTACCTCAGTCACTCAGATGTAGGAAGAGTCCTGTTTGTTTTAAACTTCTTCGATTTACAGATGATGGAGGCATTTGTGGTCTTTGGAACCTTCAATGCTGCACAGGTTTTTCTGTACCCTTTTCCACTGAATCTGTTCCTTGATACAATCCTGTCTTGGAGGTCTACCGACAATTCCTTGGACTTCATGTCTTGGGTTGTGCTCTGATATCCACTGTTTGCTATGGGAGGTCATATAGACAGGTATAGGCCTTTCCAAACTATGTCAAACCAACTTTCTTTTTAATACATTTGCAAGGATCTCAGTCAAACTTTTTTTTTCACTTTGTTATTATGGTATATATTTTGTGTAGGAGTTTTGAGATAAAATAATACATTCTTATTCCAAAAATGGAATAAATGTAACAAAAATTAAGGCAAATGTGGAACAAGTGAAGCGCTGCGAATACTTTTCACTGTAACTCCAGCACAATCGATCCATTTTATTAACCACTTGTGCTATTCAGGTCACACGGCACAAAGTATTGGGAGAAAAAAAACAAAAAACAACAACTTACTGGCCGGTCCGTATTTTGGGGGTGGGGGAGGAGTACACTCCAAAACAACTCAAAACAAAGTGAATCTTGTATGTTATTTATTTCATTTCAGATTTACAAGTTATTTCACATTTCTTTAAAAAAAAAAAAAAAAAGGCTAGCAACTCTCCGGTGTTACAGTTAGCAATAAAACAATGCAAGAAAACAACTGCATTTATGGTACAGCCTCTTCAGAAGTGTAGCCTCTCCAATCACGACCACCCTCAGCAAGCAAAGTCTTGAGCTTTTATTATAACAGTCTCACCCAACTCCCTATTAAGAATAACCAAAGCCACCTCTACACCTGGCATTACAATGTGATCTGCAACTAGATAATTTAATGATGGGAAAGTATAAGGAATGCAGGTGTAATTTTATGCACTGTGATTGGTATGTAATCAGACAATCCAGGGCACATTTAGAGGTGCTTGGCTTGCACTCTGATTAGATCTGTTAGTGTAAATGCAGTTAGAGCAGCCTAACAACATTAAGTTAAATAAAATCATCTACCCTTCAAGTTCTGCCTCTTCCTGCTCACATCATTAAACTGAAATGTTAAGCAGAACCTTCAAAGTCTTCTATCTCCTCTTTCCAGAAATAGATAATATTAATTTCTGGACACAAAGATGGCCAACTTGCAAAGATAAAAGATCCATCTTTAACTTGGGAACTAACCAACCAACCTGCATATAGAGACAACGTCAGGACACGGTCAGATGATTTTATACAAGGGCTAACTGCTAACTCCAAAATGTCACCTGTCACTATCAAGATAACTTACACATGCTAATGTCAGGTGCTTATGCTGCATTACGACAAAAAGATTAAATCGCTCTACCATTTGTAATTTAAGGATTAATATTTTTGGGTACTTTTTTCCCCCACTGAATATAGGCAAATGACAGGAGTAGAAAACGTGTGTGCATATATAAATATACATATTCTACACACACACACACATACACACAAACACACGCGCGCGCACACACACACTCCAACAATTCCAACAACCTCAGCATCATGCTTCAAAATCATTTATAACAGCATTCGATCATCAGAGAGATGCTAAAGATCAACAGGGAGGCGGACAGACACAGAAGGGAAAGACAGAGAAGGAATAGTGAGGGATCTTGGGAATTCCCTCTAGCTTATGATTTGCTTTACAAAAGTTCCTTTAATCAAACGGGATGCAGATAATCTCATCTGTAATCTCAGTGTGGAAGTGGCGAGTGGTTCTGCCCTCTCCTGCCTCTCTGGCTTTTTGCTACATGCTGTCCTTAAAATGATGTTCAGGGCTCGTTCACCAAGTTCGTTTTTTCTTGCTTCTTAGTTGCCGCCGCAGCACCGGCTGCTGCTGCTCCCCTGAGGGTTAGTTTGTTCTAGATCTACTCCTGTCCTTGTCCGCCCACCTTGTCCAGCTGTACCCTGGGGCTCGCTCTTCGGTAGCTTCTTCGCTACAGGGACAGGGGAACAGATATTTCAAAATAAAGCTACGAAACACCAAAACAGCACCAAAAGGTGACAATAAAACAATACAGGTTTGTTTTTTTAATCTATCACATATGTTAGGTTAATTTGTGATTCCAAACTGGTCAACTGGAATATGTGACTAAATGCATTACTTACCTATAGCCATGAAAATTTCATTGACATTCATAGCGGTCTTGGCTGAGGTCTCCATAAAAAGCAGACTGTTGTCATCGGCATAGGCTTGTGCCTCCTGAGAACATGATTTAGATATAAAAGTTAATCAACAAATTCAAATGAAACCTCTAAATATCAGATTTTTTGCTTATATTAAGTCCTCTATATGCATCTTTATACCTGAAACTCGACAGCTCTTTTGTTTGCGATGTCCGCTTTGTTGCCAGCCAGAGCGATCACTATGTTGGGACTGGCCTGCCTTTGAAGCTCCTTCACCCAATTTTTCGCACGATCAAAAGTGTCCTGAAAAACCAACAAACTTAATTTGCATTTCCCCAAAGTATTTAGCACTACAGCTATCTTTAATGTTGGTCAAACATGTTTTCTTTTTTTAAATTTCATACTAGCATAGCTGGTGTGACCTCAAAAAGCCCACAAGCCCATGAACACACACGAACACACACACGCATATGTTTAAAATTAACTTACACTGAGTCAAAGCACACCCTCTGTCATGTATGTAAAAATAATCTTAAATATTAGGTAAATACAACTGCAGGTGAGAAACAACACACAACATGTTACACCGTGTTATTATTTATTTAACTAAAATGCAAAAGCAGTGTGTAAAAAAATTAAGCACACCTCATCTTCTCTATGATGTTATCAGTCTCTCACATCACTGTGGAGGAATTCTGGCCCACTCTATATTGCTTTGTATATGCAATGCTTTTTAAGCCCCTACCACAACATTCAATGAGGTTGAGGTCCTGACTTTGACTGGGCCATCGAGGCATCTGAGTTTTTTTCTTTTTCCAGACATCATTATTATAGATCTGCTGTTGTGCTGGGAATCATTGTCCTGTTCCATGATCCAATTTTAGCTATTTTTTTAACTGTCAGAAAGATGGCCTCACATAGGACTCTAGAACGGGGGTCCCCAATCCCAGTCCACGAGGGACGGTGTCCCTGCAGGTTTTAGATCTCACCCTGGGTCAACACACCTGAATCACATGATTAGTTCATTATCAGGCCTCTGGAGAACTTCAAGACATGTTGAGAAGGTAATTTATCCATTTAAATCAGCTGTGGTAGATCAAGGACACACCTAAAACCTGCAGGAACGCCGGCCCTCGTGGACTGGGATTGGGGACCCCTGCTCTAGAATAATTTGGTATACTGATGAGATCATAGTTGAATAAAGAACCGCAAGGTGTCCAGCTCCTGTAGCCGCCAAAAGCCCAAATCACCCCTGTGCTCTCACTTGGTATGAGACGTTTCTGCTGATATGCTGTGTTTGGTTTTCACAAAAGTGGTGCTGTGCATTATGGACAAGCATCTCCACTTTGGTTTTATCTATTCAAAGGACATTGTTCCACACATCTTGTGGTTTGTTCAGTGCATTTGCTGGAAGATTAGAAACTGTGTTTAATGTTTTCCACATGTGAATATTAGTTTTGCTGAGAATAATAAATGTAATTTGTTTGGAAATGACATTATGACCCTTTAAAATCATCGCTGATGTCTTTCCTCCTTGTCATTGTAAACACACACCCGAATGCTCCAGACCAGAAAATTGAAAAGCACCTGCTTTTACAGACGTGCTCACACTTACTAATGATCAACTAAAGTGCCGCTATTTACACTCTTAATTCCTATGGAAACAGTGAGGATGTACTTAGTTTTTCACACATTGCTTAGTTTTAGTTAAATGAATGTATCATGTTTTGCTATTTATCTGAGGTTGTATCTAAATCATAGTTACAGGTTAATTGCAAAAAACCAAACAAAAATAAGTGAGAATCTTGAATCCTTCAGTAAAAGCCAAAACACACCTTAACAATTGTAACTGTTTTTTCAGTGATTTTTTTTTTAAAATGATCACTGATTATCAGCATATTTTGCATTCTTCCACTTTTGGGAGCAACAAAACAATGAAACAAATGAATTAAACAAAGCAGTATCTGCAAGCATCATACAGTATGTCACGAAACTGAGTACACCCCTCACATTTTTGCCATTATTACCTAAACCACTGGCAACAAAAATGAGTAAACCCCTAAGTGAAAATGTCCAAACTGTGCCCAAAGTGTCAAGCTTTTGTGTGGCACTAACACTGCCTTAACTCTATTGAGCGTGGAGTTCACTAGAGCTTCACAGGTTGCCATGGAAATCCTCTTCCACTCCTTCATAATGACATCATGGAGCAGGTGGATGTTAGAGACCTTGCGCTCCTCCACTTTCCATTAGAGGATGCCCCACAGATGCTCAATAGGGTTTAAGTCTGGAGACATGCTAGATCTGTCAAGCAGCTTTACCCTCAGTTTTTGGAGGTGTGTTTGGGTTTGTTATCATGTTGGAATCCTGCCCTGTGGGATAGTTTCTGAAGGGAGGGGATCATGCTCTGCTTCAGTATGTCACAGTACATGTTGGCATTCAGGGTTCCCTCAATTATGCGTTCCTCAGTGCCAGCAGCACTGATACAGCCCCAAACAATGACACTCCCACCACCATCCACCATGCTTGACTGTAGGCAAGACAAACTTGTCTTTGTACTCCTCACCTGGTTGCTGCCACACACCCTTGACACAATCTGAACCAAATAACTTAATCTTGGTCTTATCCTTGTCCTTAGTCTGCTTGTCTTCAGCAAACTGTTTGCCGACTTTCTTATGCATTATCTTTAGAAGAAGAAGAAGCTTCCTTCTGTGAGGACATCCATTTGATGCAGTGTGAGGCGTATGGTCTAAGCACTGACAGGCCTTAATGCCTTCAACTTCTCCAGCAATTCTGGCAGCACTCATACATCTATTTTCAAAAGACCACTGGGTATGACGTTGAGCATGTGCACTCAACTTCTTTGATCAACCATGGCGAGGTTTGTTATGAGTGGAACCTGTCCTGTTAAACTGATGTATGGTCTTGGCCACCGTGCTGCAGCTCAGTTTCAGGGTGTTGGCAATATTCTTATAGCCTGAGCCATCTTTATGTAGAGTAACAATTCTTTTTTTCAGATCCCCAGACAGTTCTTTACCATGAGGTGCCTAATAAACTTCCAGTGACCAGTATGAGAGAGTGTGAGAACAATAACACCAAATTCAACAACCTGTTTCCCATTTACACCTGAGACCTTGTGAAACTAATGAGTCACATGACACCAGGGAGGGAAAATGGCTAATTGGGCACAATTTGGACATTTTCACTTAGGGGCGTACTCACTTTTGTTGCCAGCGGTTTAAGCAATAATGGCTGTGTGTTGAGTCATTTAGAGGGGACAGCAAATTTTCACTGTTGTATAAGCTGTACATTGTATCAAAGTGTCATATCTTCAGTGTTGTCCCATGAAAAGATATAACTAAATATTTACAAAAATTGGAGGGGTGTACTCAGTTTTCTGAGATACTGTAACTGTTACCCTGTGGGTGAAACCTACTGTGTTGGTAATGTCATAGACCACAATCGCTGCTTGAGCCCCTCTGTAGTACATTGGAGCCAGGCTGTGGTAGCGCTCCTGACCCGCTGTGTCCCAGATCTCAAACTTCACAGTGGTGTCGTCAAGGCAGACAGTCTGAGTGAGGAAAGCAGCTGCAGAGAGAATGAAAACGTAAACAATAAATAAATGAAACACTCAATCTTCCTAGAAGACTATCCTGTTCACATCTGATCTGAAGGTAAGTTAGTAGGCATTGCATCACTTCAGATTAGCTTGGGCACAAATTCATAGAATTCTGAATGCCACATCTATAGATGTATGACCTCTGTGTAGGATAACACGCCACATCACAAGACTCGTATCATCTCAAACTGGTTTCTTCAATGATCAGTTCACTGTACTTAAATGGTCATCACAGTCACAAATCTGAATTCAACAGGGCACCTTCTGGATGTGGCTGAACAGGGGTTTGCATCATACATATGCAGCTGAGAAATATGCATCACCTGTGTGATACTATCATGTCAATATGAACCAAAATCTCAGAGTAATGTTTTCGGCACTAGTAGAATCTATGCCATGAAGAACTAAGACAGTTCTGAAGGTAAAACGAGGCCCAACTTGGTACTAGCAAGATGCGCCTAACATACTGACCAGTGAATGCATGTTCTTTATGTGAACAGCTTTTATTTTGATGAAACATTTGCCAAATTTCAGCAATGTTATTTAAGGAAAGCTCTTCTACAGATGCTTGTTTTTAAATGACATTTAACATTTGGGAATACTTGAGGGGAATATGAAAGGCACATTTACCCATGTGAGTTATCAAACCTGATACAGCACTAAGATTCCTAAATTTCAAACAATATTCACTTAACATGCAGACAGCAACATAATCTACCTAGAGAAACACCTACAGCTTCCAAACGAAATCAGTTTCCTTCATTTAGAAACGTGTTTCTCACCTCCAATGGTGCTCTCCTGGAATTCGTGGAACTGCCCTTTGACAAAGCGCAGCACTAAGCTCGACTTCCCCACCGCTGACTCCCCCAGCAGGACCAGCTTGAACTGGCAGATTTTATTTGCTGCTGCAGCACCATTAGGCCTGTTTGCTCCTCCACCACCACGTCCAGCCATTGACAGAGACTGTTAGGAAACAAACTAAATACTCGGAGTTTGAGAAGGGTTGGAAGTCCACGCACCGATTGTGAGCGAGGTCAGAAATCACACTCCGGGGCGACAAAAACAGCGGTGATCCAGGCAAGCCTGAAACATTTTTAGAAAAATAAACTGAACCTTTTTTGTGGGTACATTTTAGGAATACATATCTATAAGTGACTGATTTTTACGTTAGCTTGTAGATAACACTTGTTTTTTCATACCTCTGCTAGACTAACGTTTGTTTATCCCCGATTATAGCGTAGAAACAACGCAGTATCCATCTTATAAGTTATTATTAATTACGTTATAAAGCCTGTCAGCTCTTCTATCAGACAATACCGAACTGACACAAAAGATTCAGATCAGTCGCTGTCATGTGAAGTTCATAACCATAGATCTACATGCAGTCTGTTCACTTTTTTAACTGCTAAAATTACAGCTGAGCAGGTCTCCGCCACAGTTATCTGAAATTATTTGTTAGCAGCAGCAAATGTTGTTTGGTTAAAAAAAATAAACACTTAAATGATAAAATGGAAAAGTGCACCACATACAGCCTTGAACTCTCAAACACTGATATCGATATCGGCCTGAAAGACCTAGTCTGGCATGTTAGTAACAGCTGACGAGTTAAGCTAAAACAACCTAGAAATGGCTCCATTCTGTTTTTAATGCTGTCTCACAAGCTGAAATGCTTCTGTAGTCAACAGGACACTAACAAACAATTTAAGTGTGCGTATTTGTAGTTACAAGTCCAAAAGCACCGGGTGAACCCGCTAGTCGTTTAACTTTGACCGTCTATACGGACAAAAACACCATCAGTCAGACAGTTAGCTCGGAAGCTAAAGCTCGTCTGTATTAACGACGATCAAATCAGTTCATAATGCTAATCAGCTAACAGGAAGTTTTGGGTTTCTTACCGAAAACGAAAAAACAAGATTCGCTGTACCGTGTGTAGAGTGACTTATAACGATGTTATTTCTCGTTAACAGCGTTTTCTCCCGTTCCACTAAAAGACTTCCAGCTTCTGTGGAATATATGCTTCCGCCTTCAGTAACAAAAATACTTCCTGGATTCGCTTGTCATGTGATGTGATGTCACAGCCAATCAAATACGGAGATTGCAGAACGTCAGCAGGAGCTAGCTCAGTCCTGTACTATTTTTAAAATGATCAATGACAGAAACACTTGCAATGACTTTTAGAGGAAGATTATTTCGCAGTGCTTGGGTAATTTGCAACAAAGGTTTAAATTCAAAAACTCATACTCCAAAAAAAAGACTTGATCTAACTTTTCATGACATAATTGACATTATTTATTATTATTATTATTATATCCTTCTGGATGTTTAGTAAGCTAGAAATACAATTAGATGTTATGCGATTTAAAATACACATTTGTGTAGCCAAGGGATTCATTAATTCTATTTATATTTTCAGAGATACTTACACAATTAACGAAGTATTTTCTTCTTTCCTAATAACTGGTTGTGCCACCCTTGGCAGCACAAATTGCAGTCAAGCTTTTGCAATAACTGGTAATGATTCTTTCACAACTCCGTAGAGAAATTTTGGCCAACTCTGCTTTGCAGAATTGTTTTAATTCAGCTACACTGGCGGTTTCTTGAGCATGAATGGCCTTTAAAGTCATGCCAAATCATTTCAGTCGGATTTATGTCCAGACTTTGACTCAGTCACTCCAAAACCTTTCTCACATTTTGAAAAACAAAAACATTTTTCCTGTGACTCTTTAGTAACAAAGGTCATCTCTATGCAGAAACAACACATGGTTAAATGCCACATGGTGGTGCAATTGGAAAGCAAATAACATTCGGAGGGATTTGGAACACACTCAAAGATACAACCGTATTTTGTTTTGCAGAAAATGTAAGTTATTGTCTGATTTTGCTTTCTTTTCTCCCCTGAATTATAGTTGTATTACAATAAAGTGAAGTAATCTATTCTAAGGAACACCAGACTAACAAAGGATTTGCAGTTATTGATGGCCATAAAACATTGTATGTGTATAATTAGTTGATTTTATTGTGAAAATTGTATTACACAATTTGTGGGATTGGATTATTTATTCGCTGGAAAATATTGTGTATGATAGCCATTTATCTGTTGCACAGATCAGCTGAGCAGCAAGTGGCAGATGATACACCGGGCTGATTCATTATCCTGCAGTCATTTGACTTCATGCAACCTTTGAAATATCTGGGAGCTGTGGAAACAAGGAAAACAAGGTGGTATGAAATCATCTGTTGTAACTGATTTAATTGTGTTCTTTTTTTTCCCTGCACACTAAACCAAATGAGGGTTTTGACTTACTAGATCCTGCATAAATGATGGCACTGGTGCAGACATTGTTAAAGCCATGGCAGGTCTCCACAGAGTTTGGGCAGTGTCGCAGACCTCCACAGTAACACTTCAGAGCTTCACCTGGGAAAAAAAAATAAATCAGGTTTAATCACTGTAGCAAAGCATTTTCACAGCCAATAATTTAAATACAGTAAATAGAACAGTAGCAGAGTCTCCCAAATGTGCCTCATTGACAGATATGGAAAATGATGCATATAGAAACAGGCTGCAGCTTAACTCTTAACTCACTCTGGCTGATGACCAGCAAAACCAAAACAGCAACAATCACAGTCTTCATGTCTTCAGGATGCTTCGCCTCACTGCACCAATCTCTGTATGAAAAAAGGGAATAAATGTGAGAAGATCAAACTCTTTAAGCTCCACCATAATCCACATATTGAAGGACAAACACATCCCACCTGATGAACGATCCTTCTGGAGAGTGATTCCTCAAATGTTTGACAGCTGGGTTTCCATCCTCCTTTTTTATTTGGTCTTGTTGTGCAAGCGTGCAGAGTGAAATATCAAGATCAGACTGTGATGCTGCAAAAACACACCGTGACACCACTTGACTCATCAAGAGAATGTGCAAATATATTTGCACACCAATTGTTCTGTTTGTATAAGCAACATATGCAGCACAAAGTAACAACATGATGTGAGGACACGTATAAAGCGCAATCAGCCAATTTGGACCAACACTACAAATAAATAAATAAATAGGTGAGCAAATTGTAACAGGGTATAAAGAACATGATAAAACCTCGTCAAATACAGAGAATTGTTTAGTTTGACGATTTGTTATTGATCTTGGAAATACCAGAGTGCAATCATAAGGGACATTTTCAGATCAGTGTGTCCCTGAAGAGTTCCAGTAAGAAATCAACTAGAGAAGCTGTTTTACAACATAAACAAACAGATGAAAAATGTCTGAAAAACACATCTTTTGAATACTAATAAAAAAAAAACCCTGAAAAATAACAAAAAAGGGTTTTAAAAATAATCATAAAGTGTTAATGTAGAACTGAGAAGAGATTTTAAAAAAAAACATAACCTTTTAAAACACGATTTTGATTTTGTCAAAGTTGAAAACTGCCAAGTAAGCCCATGGAGTCTTTGTAACAAGACAATCAGCATAAACCCAAAAGGTCTTAGCATACATACAGAGCTGTGCAAAAGTCTCAAGTCACTTCCCTTTGTTTATGTTTTGTCAGGAAAATGTGAAAATGCAGACATATATGGTAATCCAGTATCCATTTACAAAGAGTTTAATTTTCCATCAGGTTCCACTGAGATTCAAACTCAGATCACTGGATTCAAAGTCCAGAGTGCTAACCATTACACCATGGAACCACTTCTCAAAGGCTGGTGTCACTAAAAAAACAGAGCTTTTATTTACTGAGTATTGGCATAATATAAAATGAAAAATAGAAGCAGTGTCACGTCACCCCTCATTACTTTATGTTTTCTTGGAAAATTGGAATTTGGTGCAGCGATTTATTGAAACATCTGAAAAGATAAATTAAAATGCAGCATTTAAGGAAAAAACAGAGTTTGTACAATTCTAACGAGCTTGAAAATCAATATTTGGTATGATCACCTTTATTCTTTAACACATTCTGAACTCTTTTAGGCAAGCGTTCTTGTAATTTCTTTAAATAGTCTAGCTCTCCAGGCTTCTTGAAGGACATTCAAAGCTCTTCTTTGGATGTTGGTTGCCTTTTGTTCTTTTCTCTGTTAAAATGATCCAAAACTGCTTCAAAAATATTGAGGTGCAGACTCTGGGGAGCTCAATCAATGACTGACAGTGTTACACTTCCCAACACCACTGGCTGAATTGCAGCCACAAACCATGACAGAGTCTCGACTGAGTTTCAAAGGTTTAAAGATTGCTGTAGACACTCTCACTACAACACATCTCCCCTGACCTCCTCTGGGCATAGTGATGATGATTTGAACAAAAAAATTTGTAATTTGGATTCATCTGGATTTGTTGATTTTCAGTCCAGTTCTTATGTAACGTGGCACACCTCAACCTGTTCTTCCTGTTTGCCTTGGTTAAGAAAGGCTTTTTGACAGCCAACCATCCACTGGGACCATTTCTGACAAGGTCTCAGCAAACAGTAGATGGATCAACTGAAGGGCCTGATGTATGTGTCAGGTCTGCTGGATTTTTTCTTACTTCTTAATGTCCTTCAGATACTGTTCACCTGCTGTAGATATTTTGTAGGCCTGGAACTTGTTCGGTCTTCTCTATTTGTCCAATTTCCCTCTATTTTAAGGACACACTGGACACCGTGCTGAGATATGTCACGTTTTCAGCTAATAGCTCTTTGGGATTTGCTTTGTTGATGGGAAAATTCTAGTTAGTTTGCATTAACTTTGACATTTTTCATAGATTCTACTAAAGAAATGGGAACAAATTCTATGTTTGTGTGAAATGGATTTTTTGGTAAGTTGTCTGTTAGGTATACTGCCTTTTTATGATTCATAGTCAGCATTAAGTACAAGCTTACATCTGGTCTTGTCTGTTCTTTGCAATTTCTATCCCACTTAACTCATAATGTAATTTCTGTCAAGTAATGAAACCAAATGAAATCCTCTAGTGTTGGCTAATTAAATACAAACATATAACCTGTGTCCTTACTTTTACCATACTTCTTACACATAAGACTAATTCAGGAATATAACATACTGTGCATGAGGTATAGTATTGGGGTCAGTACATCATACCAACTCATTATGTTGCACTGTAAATATCAGATCTTTTATATCAGTGTTTTTTTTTGTATGTATTTATTTAAAAATATATATACAAACATCTGTAAACAGTCTCTTTGTGTTTGTGTCGTTTATTTCTGTTTTGATCATTTTCTTTGTTTAGTCGTTCCAGCCTTTCAGAGGGCTGCGGATTATTTAATTTTCTAACACCCATGTAACAACGCTTTTTCCCAATAAATGAATAACAAAAGGATATTAATAATAATCTAAATATAGCCTCCCGTTTCTGGCTAAAGCATAACCTTTTGACTGACTGACAATTTTAAGTCACATTTTAATGTCCTCAGTGTTTCAGTTTTTTGGTTAGTTTCCTATAACAGCTTTTTGTATGTAAAATCAGAAATTATTACTTTAACAAACCACTGACAAACCATATTTCATGATGAGCACCTTTCTAAATTGGCCATAACAAACCTAGTTAGTGTTCAATAAATAACTAATAGTTCAAAAACATTCATGTAATGAAGTGATGTTGTCATTTAAGAAAAAACCCCAATTAATTCTCTAGAGAATAGAAAATAATACAAATAAGAACTGATATAAAAGCCAAAGATAAAATAAACTGCTCTTTATTATGAGAACACCAGAATGCACACTACATGACAGTAAACATGTTTACAGGCATTAGTATCTGTTGCACAGATCAGCTGAGCAGCAAGTGGCAGATGATACACCGGGCTGATTCATTATCCTGCAGTCATTTGACTTCATGCAACCTTTGAAATATCTGGGAGCTGTGGAAACAAGGAAAACAAGGTGGTATGAAATCATCTGTTGTAACTGATTTAATTGTGTTCTTTTTTTTTCCTGCACACTAAACCAAATGAGGGTTTTGACTTACTAGATCCTGCATAAATGATGGCACTGGTGCAGACATTGTTAAAGCCATGGCAGGTCTCCACAGAGTTTGGGCAGTGTCGCAGACCTCCACAGTAACACTTCAGAGCATCACCTGGGAAAAAAATAAATCAGGTTTAATCACTGTAGCAAAGCATTTTCACAGCCAATAATTTAAATACAGTAAATAGAACAGTAGCAGAGTCTCCCAAATGTGCCTCATTGACAGATATGGAAAATGATGCATATATAAACAGGCTGCAGCTTAACTCACTCTGGCTGATGACCAGCAAAACCAAAACAGCAACAATCACAGTCTTCATGTCTTCACGATGCTTCGCCTCACTGCACCAATCTCTGTATGAAAAAAGGGAATAAATGTGAGAAGATCAAACTCTTTAAGCTCCACCATAATCCACATATTGAAGGACAAACACATCCCACCTGATGAACGATCCTTCTGGAGAGTGATTCCTCAAATGTGTATCAGCTTGGTTTCCATCCTCCTTTTTTATTTGGTCTTGTTGTGCAATTGATGCGAATCTAGTGTATCATTAACTCAAAACTTCATGTGGGTTTTTGCACAAACACAGAGTGAAATATCAAGATCAGACTGTGATGCTGCAAAAACACACCGTGACACCACTTGACTCATCAAGAGAACGTGCAAATATATTTGCACACCAGTTGTTCTGTTTGTATAAGCAACATATGCAGCGCAAAGTAACAACATGATGTGAGGACACGTATAAAGCGCAATCAACCAATTCTTCTGACCTGTTGTGTAATATTTGCATTGCTTTTGCATACTCAGTGTAATATTACCTTGAACACCTGAAACACCCACATGGTGGGTCTTGGAAAACACACACTGACACAACTTACAGGGAATGCACAATATGCTGTTGAAGGAATAGCGTCATATTCCGATGTTTTCCAACAGATTTTCCAGTTAAACAACCTTTGCTTCTGTTAGAAAGTGTAAATAATGAGTTAATAATGAACCAAATTTACATAAAAATGTAGATATGAAGAATTACTCTGTTCCAGTCAGCAAAGAAGATCATTTGTTTGCTTATTTTCTTGTCTGGGAAGTTTCATCAACAGCTTCTTTTAAAAAAACACAATTATTGTACATTGACTTATATAATCAGATTGAGTGGCGAGTAAGGACGAGGATAAACCAGCGCTCACCAAAAACCCGTTGCATTCAAAGGCCCTAATGAGACGCAGAGCAGCTGCAAATCCTCTTCTTTTAAGAAAGCACGGTGCTGACTTTGTGTTCTTCTGTGGTCGTCTGAAATTTTATTCAACTTGTGGACACATTCATGTTTCTAAAAAACATATTTTTTCCTCTTTAATCCTTTCTTCAAAGATATCAAAAATGAAGCCATTTATTTCAAAGTTGAACTGCTGCAGCCCTCTCGTTTCTCATTTTGTTAAACTCGCGGTTGCAAATTTAACTTAATTATTAAGAAATAATCAGACAAGACAATCATCAAATTTCCAGAGTAATAATAAAGTAAACTAAACAAATACAGTGATGTCTAATAATTGTGAGTTTAGGTCTTTTTCAGGCATCAGTACTAATCACCTAATAACTAAACAGAAAACGTTTTAGGAAAAAACGCAAAAACACGACTTTTCTTGGCATATAAAAGTCTTTATACTGATATATGTAAGCAATACCATGAGATTTGAAAACCACAAATAACCTGTCAAATAACAGCAAAGCATCGTAATCCAAATCCAAGAAAATTCAGAGCTTTGCCTCAGTGAAAAATAATCCAGTTTCTGTCTTTTTCTTTTTTCTCAAGCTTTGACACAAATAACTGGTAACTGCA